TTCGGAAATCGCGAGAAAGCAAATGCGCTTAATACGTTTTTCGCTAACCAGAGCCAAATAGAAAACCCTCTTGACGACCCCCCAAATGTAATACCCCATGACGTATTTATCGAAGATCCAAGTTTTTCCATTGAAGAAGTTAGTAACATTTTATTATCCTTAAATATTAACAAGGCTACAGGCCCCGATCATGTGAACAATCGTATACTCAAATCATGTTTAATATATTATTCCAATTCGGTACTTTTCCAGATATTTGGAAGCTTGCCAATGTTGTTCCCGTTTATAAGAAAGCTGATATACACGACGTGTGCAATTATAGGCCAATTTCACTTCTTAGTTGTCTAGGCAAAGTTTTTGAAAAATGTCTTCATAAATACTTACATAATTTTTTTAGTGGAAAATGAAACTATTTCCCCTTTTCAATCAGGCTTTAAACAAAATGATTCTACTATATATCAATTAATTGAAATCAATGATTACATTGCTAAGGCTATGGATGAAGGACATGAAATTAAAGCTGTATTTTGTGACGTAAGTCGCGCGTTTGACCGAGTCTGGCACAAAGGTTTACTAAACAAATTATATACTGTAGGAATTAGGAACAACTTTTTACTTTTAATAGAGCATTATCTCTCAAACAGACAACAAGTTGTAGTTATTAAAAACATATGAAGCAGGTGTCCCCCAGGGCTCCGTCCTAGGCCCAACATTGTTTCTCATTTACATTAACGACGTCATCAAGAACATAAACTCCCATATCAGACTGTTTGCGGACGATACGTCCTTGTATGTCATTATTGAGGACCCCGTTTTATGTCAATCCAGTCTTAATGATGACCTTTCTAAGATATCTACTTGGTCAATTGATTGGAAAGTCAACTTTAACCCAACTAAAACAGAAAGCATGACTTTTTCACGTAAAAAAAACCCCTCTTCGTTTCATGTGAATTTTAACAATACCGACATAATAGATACAGCTGACCACAAACACCTTGGGCTAATATTCAATTCCTCAGGACAGTGGACCGTTCATATTAACTCCATAATTACTAAAGTAGGTAAACTTGTGGATGTTCTTAGAAGTTTCAAATATAAATTGTCAAGGAAATCACTAGAGATTATATACAAATCCTTCATTCTCCCTGTATTTGATTACGTTGATGTAATTTATGATAATTATAGTAAAACTGACAATGAAAAACTTGAAAATATCCACCTTGATGCCCTTAGAACTATAACGGGTTTGGATAAAGGTATATCACACAAAATTCTATACACTGAATCAGGACTCACTTCTCTGAAACAACGAAGATATAGGCATAGGTTAACCATATTTTACAAACTAGTAAACAAACTAGCCCCCCAAAACTTATGTCTTCTTGTCCCACCTAAGATATCTGACATTAATCCATATTTTCTGCGTGACACCAACTCTCTAAGATCTGTCCAGTGTCACACGGAAACCTATAAATCTTCCTTCGTCCCACTGACAGTTCGCGATTGGAATGATCTACCTGCCAATGTTAAAGATTCCTCTTCACTTAAAATATTTAAAAAAACATCTTTCCAAACATGATAAACAAGTCCCCTCATATATCTACTTTGGTAATCGCTCAGTAAATGTCGTCCATACACAACTTAGACATGGTAAAAGCACATTAAATTATCATAAATTTCTAATGCATGTTTCCGAAAATCCTTCATGTAAGTGTGGCTACTACATGGAAAATACAGAACACTTTTTCTTCTTCTGTCCATTGTACAAGGAAGAACGAATCCGTACCATCAACAATCTTCTTTACCATTTCCACAATATTTCAGCAATTCTTGACGGAAACCCGAAAGTAAATGATTGTGAGAATCAGGCCTGTTTTGAAATTGTTCATTCGTATATAAGTGCTACAAAACGATTTAAATTGATAAAGTACTGATCAAATTGAATTAAACGCTTAAACTCCCCCAGTCCCCTAACCCACGCCCCGCCCGCCCGTCCGCCCCGAGGATGAGGACACACTATGTACATTCTAATACCACGGTGACAAAAATGACACAATATTATACATGTACTTATTTTCGCGCAATGTATTATAATTTCCATGCAATTTAGACATGCCATGTTTTGTTTTACTATCTTGGAGACGGATTAATATAAGCCTCATATCTTGTTTCCGAATCCATATAGTTTATTATGTATTGTTAATATGTCATTATATGTCATTATACTGTTTAAACCAAAGGATGACGTCACATCTGTATTTTAAATACAATTAGAAAGAGATTGTAAAGAGCAGTGGTCATCTACGACCGACTTCCGGATCAATTCACTTGGTGTGATCCCTACGACCGGCTTCCGGATCAATTCACTTGGTGTGATCCCTACGACCGGTTCCCGGATCAATTCACTTGGTGTGATATAGTGTTTGTCCTGTGTAATTGTTTAATTGTTTATGTGTTTTATGACCCTCCTGCACTTACTGTTAAAGCTGCATTATGTTAAAGCTAAATCTGACTATTACAGGATTTTATTTTTAATTCAAATGTTATATAAATTAAATTTGATTAAAATACAGATCTATATTTCGTTTCGTTTTTTTTATACCTAGTTTGTGTCGAGTGGACGTTAAACCCCATTTCTCTCTCTCTCTCTCTCTCTCTCTCTCTCTCTCTCTCTCTATTGTGTGTATTCTATAGTACAACTCAGTTGTATGTATTACAATCACTGTATTCAATTATAAAAATTATTATTGAATTATTGCTAAATACTTTTGTTCGTTGAAATACGTAAACAGTCCAAATAGAACGGCGGTTACATGTAGCACCATGGGCCTTCTGTCTGACGTGGAGAGCGGGCCATTGATTCCGGTCGCCACATCCTACGTACGACTCATGCATCTTGTCTTACTACATATCTTAGTAGCCTTGTGATCGTCTAGAATTTGTCCCTAGCTGTCTTTGCTTCCCCTTCACGTTGTGTATTTTCTTCTTACTGTTTTCTTAAGCCGTCTGTCTTCTCAGTAGTTATAACAATGCAACTGTTCGTTTTTACATTTTATATATCAAGCTGGATACATATACGCATAGTATAGATTACAATACTAAAGTCATTCTCAAACACTAGCCAGCCAGACTCGATATGGGCGAGTCTGCTGATAGAAATTGGTACATCTTTCTCCTTCTGGAATCAAGCTGCTGTCTAATGAATTCTCACAAATATGATAGTTTTGTAGCTTTTGGCTTTGGATCTTCAATTATCTAATTGGTCAAATTTGATGTATATAATTACAGAGATTGGTCAAATAAGCCAAATGATGCAATCGTAAATTTCCGTCACATGTTTTTCGACACAATCTATCCTTGAACTTAGAACCCCATACCTGTTATTCTCACGCTATTTCACAAACAATTAATTTGCGTTTTAGATAAACTCATACCATAGCTACTGTACTGACAATAGCGAATAATTTGTAAAGATCAAAAATGTTGTTTAACCCATCTTATTTCTCTATTCCTTGTCTATAAATTTAAAAACAATCTCGCAACGACGATAGTGCTACATACATACGCCTGCTTAGTCCATTCAACAAGTGTTGATTTTTATTATTATATTCTCGTTTGTGATTCAACCATTACTACTTACTTATGCATTGCCCGAAACCATAGAAATAAAGGTTAGTTGGTTGTATTTTACGTCCGCTTCCACCGAGGTGATATCGCAGACAAGAGAAATAAACGACACGTGTATTGGTTATAACACATACAACCGGGGAATCGAAACCCCGTCAGTTGACTCAATGACAGCTCGTATGATACAGCGCGCACGTGCTAACCATTCGGCCATACCCCCCCCCCCCCTAAGCAATTAAAAAGTATTTCAAATCCTTTGGGCACATCTCAGATAGCCCCGTATTCGCTTGTGGTCATGGTTTTGAAGTTGTCAATTATTACGTTTTAATCTCTATAATCTGACTTCGATAATATTTCTAGTATGATATAAAAAAACGTCTATAGGTTTCTAATGATCGCATGGGGGTTAAATTGAAAATGTATTAAATATTATGAAAATGGCAAACCTGAAATTGTAAATAAATATTATATTTGTTTGCTCATTTAATTTTTATATTATCCAGAACCATCTTTTAATGAATTGGTAATGTTAATTTTTATATCATTCAGAACCACCGTTTCATGAATTGATAATATTAATTTTTATATTATCCAGAACCATCTTTTTATGAATTGGTAATAGTAATTTTAATATATTATAAGTAACATTGGAGAGAGGTAGCCCAATCAGTGGCGTGGCTGTGAAATATATATTGTGGGGTCCGCAATAATATAAATTATATAAAATTTTGACAATCTGTGACGCCGGAGTCACGAGTCTGTGCAGCAGCCGATGTAGCGCGATAGTTCAGTCTTCTGTAAACCCTGTTTTGGCATATTTTACGTGGTTAAACTAAAACATCACACCAATACAGTGTTATAATGTTTATGTCAGGGGGTGCCGTATTCATATTTTTTTCATGACTTAGTATCATAGATATTAGTATTTTGTACATTTTGTGTATTATAAATGGATTTCAAAAATTAAACATAAGTGTTTGTATTTTAATTTGTACATTGTTTTATACGGATAGAATCTTAACTAATCCTTATAATTGTTGTAAATAAATAGGAATTAGGGCTTACTATGTGAATTTTGGCGTGGGTCCAAGTATATTCAGACCCCCCAGAAAAACAATTAGGGTGGGGGCGGACACCACGGCCCCCCCCCTTTTGTGACGCCCATGAGTGTAATATAGGCCTAGATTGTTCCTCAATCTTTATCTGGTAATAAAATACTGTGTGTAAAACACGCAGGTTATTTAAAATTGTCATGAATTGGTAATAATATTATTTTGTGTACATAAGGGAGAGGTGGCCTAATACACGCCCAGCCTGTTCCCCGTTCTTTTTCTGTAAATAAAATACTTTACGCATAATAAAAACAGACTTACCGTCTGAGAATTTTTGCTCCGACATGATTGTTACTCCTTATTTTATTTTGTGTCGTTATTATTAAGACCAACAACTAACAACTAACTGATTCACCGCACTGCCTGTCTTACTTCGATATGTCACAGAATACGTCACAAGTAAAGGAACGGGCCTAGTATAGGGTCTGTTGCGTAATATCTCTTCTGGTGGAAAATTCACTGAATGAATGTTGAAATAGTTCGGCTATGTTTGTAACCACTTTTATAACAATACAATTTATTTATTTCGGTGCATAATAAATCACTAACCCAAATCAGGGGCGCAGATCGCCAAAAATTAGTGGTGGGGACAGTCCATGCGCGGGCGACTATTGGTAAAGAGGGGGGGGGGTCGGGGGTCCTCCCCCGAAATTTTTTGAAAACTAGACGCTCTAAAGCGCAATCTTCAAGCCACCATTCACGATTTATTCTTTCATGTACACTACAAGAACTAGAAAGGGTTCCACTACTGATGTCTTCCTCCTCACTACGGAGTTCCTTTGCGCAAGTTTTTTAGTCAAATGACTACAAAAAGTTTACTAGCCTATAAACTGTACTGCACATAGCTTAACATATAATAAACCAATTCCCATTGAAATAAAGGTGATGTCTTACCGCATAATTATATGATTTGATGAAACGCGAAAATTGGCGTGATTTCATCTGGCTGGTGTCCATCCCCAGTAGTTGTCGAAGACTACGTAAAGTCTTTGAGCAAAATGTGTATTCAATTGGATACACAAATGTACAGGCCTACAAAAATCTTTTAATTTATATAAACTAAGACAAGCCACACACACAGCTAAACATATCAATATTCAATCCCAATTGAAATAAATGTAACATTTTACATCCAGTATACCAGATAAAAACAAAATCTCAGTTCTTTCTTAACCCGTTAATACCCAGCGTATCAGATATGCACACCTACATGATATACATATAATTATAATCCCTATGAAATATTTTAATTATTTACTGTTATTATATGAATTATCACTTATTCCCTGCGAAATGAAAATCGGTTACCGGGTGCAGCTGTACAACGTCAAGAACCCTGGCCTCAAGTGCCTGGGACCAACTCTACACTTTCCAAAATGTCAATAAAAGCTCTGGAATAATTTCAATTTAAAAAAAATAAACAGTAAGTAAACATCGGAAATAAGTGGTGGGGACACAGTTTATCATGTCCCCACCACTGAAAATATTGGTGGGGACGCGTCCCGGGATCTGCGCCCATGACCCAGATTGTAGTGTGATTTTCCTGTTGAATATATAACAGCCTAGTACAACATTATCCCAGTTAACATTGATGGTTAGATTTACGTAAAGTTTACGTCATTATGGTTAGATTTTGGTTAGCGTCCAATAATGGTAAAATTCTTTGGTTAAATTTACGTTACTTTTACGTCATAATGGTTATGGTTACTTTTACGCCAGAAAATGACGTAAATGTAACGTAAACTTTATGACGGATTACTAACCAATTTTTTTCCCTTTGAATACTTCTTGATTAAATAACATTACAAGTGTGTGCACATTCTAACAATTGATATATAGTCGGAATTCAGACATAATAATTATATATGTATTATTGGTTATAATTCTAACGTTAATCTAACGTAAATTTTACATCAGGTTTCTAACCGTTAGTTTATGGTTAGTTTTCTGACGTAAATCTAACGTAAGTTTTCTGACGTAAATCTAACGTTAGTTTTCTGACGTAAATCTAACGTTAGTTTTCTAACGTTAATATAATGTTAGTTTTCTAACGTTAATGTAATGTTAGTTTTATGTCATAATTTTAACCGCTAATTTAACGTTAGTTTTCTAACGTAAATCTAATGTTAATTTTATAACATAAATCTAACTTTAGTTTTCTAACATAAATCTAACGTTAGTTTTCTAACATAAACCTGATATTAGTTGTAAAACGTAAAACAAATGTCAGTTAAATGTCATGATACTAACAATTAAGGGCCTGACAAGACAGCTGTCTAGTCATTAAAATGGGTAAGACCCTGGCTCGCTAGCCTGGAGGTCGGGTGTTCGATCCCTGCATTGGCCGAGAAAGTTCATCCAGATTTCCGGCGTGGTTTCCCCTTGTCAGTGATGCAGGACGGAGAGCCTGACAAGGACAGCTGTCTAGTTGTTCAGATGGGATAAAAAAAACCGAGGTCCTGTGTACACATTGGCATGCATGTAAAAGATCCCTTGACAGTTGGAATTCGATATAAGAGTAGGCCGTAGTGCCACTGTCGGGGCAAAATTTCCCTCATAACACACTGTATGGTGTATGGCCATCTTCATTAGCCCAGTTCGGAGCAGAACAGTTGGACGTTAAACCCCATTTCATTTCATTACATTTTGTATCCATTTCTAAGTGCCCAAGAATAGAGATCTAGTTCCTTTAATAGTTGCGGTCTGTAGGTGACACACAAAGAGAAAACGAATGAATGAATGATCTACTCTCATTTCAAATTCCAAATGTCAAGGGTTCTTTTACGTGCACACCCACGTAATGGTCTAGACACTGTTTTTTTTAGGTCCTCTGTCCTACACCACTACTAACAAAGGGAACTTTCTCGACCAACATGGGGATCACGTTGGCTAAGTGGGTAAGACGCTGACTCGCTAGCCTGGAGGTCGGGTGTTCGATCCCTGCATTGGCTGAGAAAGTTCATCCAGATTTTTCTGCGTGTTTTCCCCTTGTCAGTGATACAGGACGGAGGGCCTGACAATAACAGCTGTCTAGTCAGGGATGAAAAACTGAGGTCACGTGTACACACAGGAGTGCACATGTAAGATCCCTTGGTAGTTGGAACTTGATATAAGAGTAGGCCATAGCGCCGTTGCCTGGGCAAAATTTCCTTCATAGCATACTGTATGGCGTATGCTCGTCTTCATTAGCACAGTTTAGGAGCAGAACAGTAGGACGTTAAACCCGATTTCATTTCATTTTTCTCGACCAACACGGAAATTGAACCCCTCATTTGCTAGCCAGTGTGTTACTAATTACTAGAGAGAGAGAGAGAGAGAGAAATGGGGTTTAACGTCTACTCGACACAAACTAGGTCATTTCGGGACTAACATATGGTTTAATTTTTATTTACATAATTCGCTTGCGCGTAGGGGTCTTTAGCAGTGGGAGAAAACCGGAGGTTGGACAGGCGACCCTACTCCTTGTCACGTACAACCGGGGATTCGAAACCACGCCAGTCAACTCAATGACAGACTTTATGATACAGCGCCCGCACGCTAACCATTCAGCCATCCAACCCCCCCGTTACTAATTACTAAGTTTGTGAAATGTAGGTTTTTCCTCATGTAGGTTTGTCCTGATAAAATCGGTTTATTGTCCTACTGTTCTGCTCCGACTGGGCTAATGAAGACAGGTACATACCATACAATGTGCTATGAGGGAAATTTTGCCTACTAATATCGAATCCAACTGCCAAGGGATCTTTTCGTGCAAGCCAATGTATACATGGTACCTCGGTTTTTTGTCCCATCTGAGTGACTAGACTACTGTCCTTGTTCCTGCACCTCTGACAAGGGGAAACCATGTCGGAAAATCCTGATGAACTTTCTCCACCAATGCAGGGATCGAACACGTGCCCTCCGGATTACCGAGCCAGCATCTTACGCACTTAGCCACCATGGCTTTATCAAAATTAGTAATGAAGATGTGCTATGACAGAAATTTTGCCTGGACAGCAGCATTACCGCACTTACTAATGAAGAAGTGCTAGGAAAGACATTTTGCCTGGAGAGCAGCATTTCCGCATATAGTCATTACCAATAGTTCTAAGTGCACGCCAACCTGTAAAACAGGTCTTTACACACTTTTCCATCATTACCAATTACTAGTCTGCGGGTTCACTAGTCTGTGGGTGCACTAATCCGTGCATTCACTAGTCCACTATAAATATGAGTATTAAAGAAACCCAGTAGATGTGGTGACTGATATCACCCTTCGTAAGGCGATAACCCAACATCACGGCATTTTAACCCGAAATCACAACATTTTAACCATTATAGCATATGCCCTTCTTCATTAGCCCACTTGGAACAAAATAGTAGGATGTTCAAACCCCATTTAAAATTCATTTTTATACTTTTCTGAACCAATCGGACTATTGAAGATAGTCATACGCAATGCAGAGTGCTATGGCGGAAATTTTCTATGGACTGTGGCAGGGCGGGGGATCTGGCAAGGGATAAGGTATAGTTGTTCGGGTCATACGAAAACTCAAGTCCTCGTGTATATATTGGCATGCACGTAAAAGACACTCCGACAGTTGTAATTCAATATCAGAGTAGGCCATAGTGCCGCTATCCGTGCAAAGTTTCCGTCATAGTACACTGTATATAGTGTATGCCTGTCTTCATTAGATAACTCAGAGCAAAACAGTAGGATGTTTAATCTCATTTAATTTTATTTAATTTTCCTACTTTTCTGCACCAATGGGACTATAAAAGATAGGCTGGCAAGCGGACGAGTGCACCCATTGACTATTGAGCATCATTTACTTGAAAACGTTGAGAGAACCCTCAACGAAATGTCGCTTTAATTAAAATAGTAATTGTGTTTTTTGTTGTATCATCAAGTCAAGTGAACGTTAAACCCCATTTCTCTCTCTCTCAATTTTGATACCCAAAAATTTGACAAAACAAATAATGATTGATTGTCGGAAACTGTTTCATAAAGCAAAGTTGTTCTCTACTAAAAGGTAATCACTGTCCAAATGTTCGGAGTAGTCCACACCTAGGCCGACTATGCATGAAGTGTTTTTATAATTAAATTTATTAAAATATAGTACCTTGCATCAGTAAATATAAAATTAATGATCCTTTCACCAGTAAATATAAAATTCATAGGCCGACAATGCATTGTGTTTTTATAATTAAAGTTATTAAATGTAGTACCTTGCACCAGTAAATATAAACTTAATGATCCTTGGACCAGTAAATATAATATTCATGATCATTATTTATATAAGGCCTTCATCAACCTTGCACCAGTAAATATAAAATTAATGATCCTTGCACCAGTAAATATAAAATTCATGATCATTATTTATATAAGGCCTTCATGTATGTTTGTA